TATAAATTTTTACCTTATTGAATATACTATAACAATAGAAATATGCATAACAGAAAATCATCAAACTTTTCATATTTTTGTTTTTCAGGTTGATCAAATAAGAACAAATTTTTTACTTATGTCATGATCCAACATCAAAGTAAACCAAGCAAGTAAAACAAGTAAACAAAGAAGGACTAAAAACCATGTAAACAAAAAAAGCCCCAGATTCAGTGAGCCAAATCTTATATTGTCCTGAAAGTCTGACATGCCCAAGCATGCACACCTGGCCCAAATTCATACTGCCTACTATCTCAAGGATGCTAAAATATGGAGGGAGAAGGGAAAAAAAAGAAAAAGAAAAAGAAAAAAAAAAATCATACTGAATAGGAACTTGTTAACTGTTGAATCATCAAAGTTGATATTGATGTTGAATGAACATCATTCACCTTGAAATCTAAATGAAACAGAGACCCCAGAGGAGAACAGAAATATAGGAGATCATATATTTAAATTTAGTACTCAAGAACTGCAATGATTCTTGCAAAAATACCTAAGGTAAGGATCCGCTACTACAAGAAATTTATGTCCAATCTGGAAAGCAAAGACTCAAAAGCCTTGGAAAACAGGAAATTTTGTTGTCTTACAGTCTACACTTTCCTTCTGCAGTCCCATTCCAGTCCCACTACAACTGGAGCTCAAAGCTTTTTCTCCCTCTCCTTGCTAATGTTAACTGTAGGCTGAGCCCTGCACAAAGTCCCCCAGCCACTGCTCAAAGAAAAAAATGTATTACTCTACAGTTCTCCTTACAGCCCCTTTCCAGTCCTGCTCCAGCCTTGCCAATATGAGGACTCCTTTTTGACTCCTAAAGGCAATTACTACTATGATTTTCAATACATTAGCAAAATACATAAATCTTAAAAAAAAAGAAAAAAAAAAGGAAAAAAGACAAATCTTTCTGCACTAAGCCAGAATCAACATCATCTGCATGAAGCCAATACCAACCAGATACACTTTTTAAAACAAACAACAAATGACATATAAGAACAAACAAAATATGTACATTTCCAGTCAATAAAAATTATTGCTGGGGGGACAGCCTACTTGACCCTGAAGCTGACTGTCTGAGGTTCCTAAGCAACTTTGACTATCATCATTAGTAATGGAGTGCAAAATGCATTACAGGCATTTAGAAATATTCAAGGTTGAAGCAAAGGAAGGAACTAGAGAATCCATAAATTCTTTGATTTGGTTTTCATTCAAAACTTTTTAACTCAGTGCAATAAATACACTCTGAGATAAACAAACACAAGATTAAAAAAAAAAATTTTGAATTAGAGAATCATCCTTCGCTCAGTTATCACCTCACCTGGCGAATTACACCACAGCTATGTATTCCTACTGGCAGAAAGCTGAGCAGTAATTCAAAGCTGAATTTGTCCTATCACAGTAACTGATTCCTGTTATGGCTATGACAGCAAGATTTAAAGAGAAGAAAAAAAAATTCTTGCTATCAGATCTCTTGCTCAGGATAGAGAACATGGGGATATCTACGCACACTACAACAAAAAGCAAACAAATAAAAGAAACAGAAGGCAACGATTTATATGTCAAATCAAAGTAACTGAATTTAACTGACTTTACGCTGGATAGTAATTTTCTGCCTCCATCTTTTGTATGATATTCCCTTGACCTCAGTTTAGCACTCCTAGAATGTGTATTCTAGAATGCACTTCAGAAAAGAAAGTATTTTGGAGTGATTTTCACAATACTGGGTAAAAAAAGACAATCTGTTTACTCAACAAGTTATGCTACAAATTAATATCTAGACTACTAAAAAGGGTTAGAAAGCAACTTATTCAGCGACTACAAATAAAAAAGGTAAATAAGTAATTGTAACTGTAAAAAGCTCTGTTCTAGAATGAAGAGGCATGAAATTACCTAACAGGAAGCTGAAGATGGGAGCGTCAAGGGACACCATCCAGAGGGACCTTGACAAGCTCAGGAAGTGGGCCCATGGGAACCTCATGAAGTTCAACAAGGCCAAGTGCAAGGTCCTGCACCTGGGCTGAGGCAATCACCAGTATCAGTGCAGGCTGAATGATGAACAGATTGGCAGCAGCCCTTCAGAGAAAGACTTGGGGATATTCATAGTTGAAAAATTAGATATGAGATGGCAGTGTGTGCTTGTCGCTCAGAGAGCCAATTGTATCCTGAGACGTTGTGGATGCCCCGTCCCTAGCAGTGTTCAAGGTCAAGTTGGACAGGACTTTGAGCAGCCTGATCTAGTTGAAGATGTCCCTGCTCATTGCAGAGGGGGTTGGACTAGATGACCTTTCAAGGTCCCTTCCAACCCAAACCATTCTGATTGGAAGATATAAGGAGTAAGAAAGGAGGGACAATTTTTCAAAAGAAGATCTCATCAGTACCAGCATAATTCAACTGCAAATGATTCTCCAACTTCAAATATTTCTTTATGGTTAGCTTTTCTGTGAGACAGATGAAACAAACAGCAATCTTTACTGCAGACATGGACTATTTAATAAAAAAGGTGACAGTGGAGTAACACAATCATTTCTTTCAAACTTGAGATTCATCTTTTACCATTTTTGTAATATTCACAAAGAATGACAATTATGAACAGTGTTCACTTCAAGTGAATTACATGAAAATCAATATGAGTTAATATTTACACTCTTAGATAATGATTTATAATGATCATTCAAATACACTATAATACTTTTTGTCTTTCTGCAGTAAACTCTATATCCAACTGAAGCAAATTGAAAATTGAAAATAAGGTGAAAGATTTCTTTGCTCGGACTCTCTGGGTGCAATTTTATGAAATCAAAGTGGGCATGAGGGACAGATTTCCTGCTAATTTAAACATTAATTATAAAAAACAGTTGCCTAAAAACTTGCTTTTTTACTGTTATTAATCTTTAAGTTTCAGCAAATATCACCACATGTGAGATAATTTTTCTGCATCTGAATATATGACTCATGCTTTATTTTAAAAGGCAGTAAAAATTTAACGCCCAAAGTCTGTAAGATTTGGGTAAACAGAACTCAACAAATTAACCTGCAACACCCATGTTTCTCAACACTGAATCTTCCCACAAAACATTTTAAAAGGTTACATTATAAACAACATCCCAAAATTTGACCCTTATTTGAAACAGTATCCTTTTTGTCTTCCTTTTTATTGCAATGACATGTTCAATACAGAAAAAAAAAGTAATTTTATTTTTACTTGTTGCAGAGGTTTATGAAAAAAATAACTGCTTACTTGCAGCTGAACTGAGTTATCCTGAAGACCTTCTACAATAGGAGAGAATCTATCAACATTCCTTTCCTCTGCTGCTGCTGTTACAGCTTCCAAAATTTTTTCAAGGCTGTAATAAAAGAAAAGCATTTCGCTCAGGAGAGACATTTAACCTTCCTGTTCATTTGTTATCTGAAGAGCCATGTTGTCAAAGTATTCACCTACCTCAATTTCTTGCGTACAAATTTAGGAGGTTTAAGCATTACTTGTTTCCTTTGGAGACTTTTGTAACCAAAGAATGACTTACTGGATTCCAATGGTTAAGATACCTTAAAAGTAATTCTAAAAAATTCTAAGCAAAAGCATGGCTGCATAACTACTTCCATCTAACCAGTACACCCACATGTCAAAAAGAAAACTCTTATTGATATGACCATAATAAAAATCACAGACAAAGGTATTCTGAAGACTGACAATATAGTACAGACTTATAGTACAAGACTTTCAAGTCTAAGTTGAAAATTTTAGCATTTCATTCAGGTATAACTATAATTTTGGATATTCTAAAATTACCTTACTATTTCTGGCTAAATACAGTACTTACATGTTTTCCTCTCCAACAATGCACATTGCAGAAAGGAGTTTAACTATATCTGTCATCATGTTAGTTTGCTTGGGATCAATTGCTTTGATGAGCAACAACAGGCTTCTCTCTTCTCCCAAAATTCTTTCCAATCCATACTAAACAACAGAGAAACAGTTGTAAGGAGAGTTAGAGCGAATACAAATGACTGTATCGAACATCTAGTAAGAGACAATGACAGTTCCCTCAAGTAAATATTTCAAATGACACTGAAGTCCATAAAATACCTAATTAAAAAAATTAAATGACAGTAAAGTCCAAAATGGGTCACTTATTCTGTAATAAGGTTATCCATCAGCATCAAAAGTTTACACTATTCTCTGAGTATATTTCTGCAGAGAGGATGTGGCAGGAGAAAGAACTTCAAACCACACCTGACCAACACACCACTTCTCCAATTTGCACAGGCTTACACCCACTGATCATGTACATTATCTGACTGTACTGCAGTAATTTAGATTTCCAGATTAAAAAAAGTCCCATACCTTATTATTCATGAAGGCTCTCAAACACTGTATAACCTTATGCTGATTCCTCTTCACAATTTTGTCCTGGCTGAATAAATAAAAGATTTAGTGCAATTAAATGCTTTTTACATATTAAGAAAAGCTAGCAATTTTATATGAAATTATTCTTACTTTTTTGTCTCAACCAATCTTTCCAAAACATCCAACAGCAGCCCCAGACCTTCTCGGCCAAAGTTTTCAACCCAGCTAGGGAGAAAGAAAGAAGACATTAAAAAAAAAAAAAAATTGACATTTCAAGGAGTAATTACAATGCATGAAAATTGTCAGCATAAATAAAAGCAGTATAACTGGATCTTTTTAAAACCCAAAATCAACTTTTTACTCAATACAAGATCAAGAGGCATTCCATTCACTCATTGACGCAATTAGATAACCTTAAATTAAAAAAGATTAAGAAGTTACAGTAGCCATTACATTTAGTAATTTGAATTTTTAAGTTAACAATTATACATTCTTTGGCACAGAACTGTAATTAAAAAAACCTTGCAAAGAAAGGGAAGAAAACCAACAATTTCTACTGTACACTGTTCTAGGCTCTCCTGGGAAGGTCAGAATCTAACCGTAAATAGCAGAGAAGGGAGGAAAAGCCTGAAGGAATTGCAGAAGTGGCTGCCTGAGATATTAACCCATACAAATATCTCGAAGTGAACACAACAAAAATTTAAAATCTCAGCTATTGCCAAAGCTATCTTTTGGTGATGGGCATGTTGTTTCTACGTGAGAGAGCTGCTTCACAGTCCTGTTTACTATTGCTCAAAACCCCTTGATATCAAATACAAGTAACTGCATGACTAACAGCAGTACTGCAACCATCCCTTTGATAGTAGCTGTTGGTCTTGCTGAAACTATGATGTTTGATAAATTACCTAACCCTAAAGTTCACAGACAACACTGTCATTCATAGTCATACCAGAAGGAATATGTTGCTCTTTAGACTTCACTGTCTGTGTAAGGCACAGATATTTTAAACTTCAGACTTCTAACAAAATCCCACTCGAGGAAGGAGAAGTAGGCTGCAGAGGCAACAAAAATACATATACAAGCAGAGAAACTGTAGAGAATATTTTCTCAGGAAATTCCTTTTATAAAGGGTGAAGTTATAATATTCAGTTATGGAACGAATTCACAGGTACTTGAATACTCCTCTTTCCATAAGAAGCAGGAATATTTCCTGACACCTGTAGTCAACTTACCATGCTACTGACCTAAGACAAGCCCTTGGATCTCTTATTATTGTCTTTGGCCAACAAGACAGAAAATTATTTCATAATGGGTATCTCTTCCATACTTTTTCTACTTTTAAATCAGTATATTACTTTTATCTATTAACTGATTACAAAACCATCTCTATTTAGAACAGATATAGTTAGCTTGATGAAGGTGTAATACTTTTCACCACCTTCATCATCAAAACATAGATTCTGTTGTGGATGTAGTACCAATAGTTTCTGTGCATTCTTTATATTATTACTTAAACAAAGCTTAAGCTGAGGAAATCCCTTGTCATGTATTAAAAAAAAAAAAAGTCTTTTACATAAAAAGGAAGCATCCATTCTGCCACATCAGAAGTTCATCAAGATGTTGATAAGAATTAGTAAAAAAATTACAAAGTTCACTTTACTTGCATTATAGCCTTTCCATTGTTTTCTTTGTTTTGCCTATTTAGACATCATTGTACACATTGGGTAAAATTTATTTATCACCGCTTTTGAATAGTAGCCAGAATATTTAGATACTCCTATAATGCCACACCTTACTAGGGACACATAATAAGCTATTCTGTTGGAAATAACACAAGGGAGATGCAATAGCTCTTTTGAAATACATAGTACTTCCAACCCCATCCTATGATGGGATTAAACAGTTCTTCGCATCTGCTAGATACAGAGCTGTAATGGACTTAAAATTATAGGAACAGAGAACCAGATCAGATGCTTTTATATGTCTTCCCCCTATAAGTAAATATATATGAAAAAGGATTTTTTTTTTCCTTTCTGGATAAGTGTTTTGTTCTGAAACAGATTAGGCAAATACTGCCAATTATAGGTATAACTGGCCATATCTGACCTAAAGATGATGCTACTAGACATTTCTTAGCACATTTTGTATTAGACAGAATTGTGCGCAGCCACTTTGTCATACATCCAGCAGCTGAGGATGCTGAGAATGATCAAGTGCCTAAAATACTGTTCCATTATTACTGCCCTTTCCCCTGCTTCCACAAAAGAACAAAGATTACTTGCACTACCCAGAGCAAACACTCAGCTTTTTGTCAGTCTGACAAAACACCAAGCTATCAGTGCCCCTATTTTCAATTTATTAAAAATGTCCTCTTAATGAAAAGAGCTAAATCTGTTGCAACTATTATACAAAACGAGAACAAAAAGTTGTGGGTAACTAGTTATCTATAACACTACATACAGCTAGATCACTGAACCACTTTTGATGAATTGTGTTGTCAACTGTGAGGTAAAAACACCCCATTTATTTACCTGAAGAACAGTGACCAAGATCAGTGGATATATTTTCCTTTTGAGGCTTTCTTTTTATACTGATGGAAAATAAATACTGCTTTCTGCAGTAAGCTATAGGTTTCAATACATTTTTCTAAGTACTAGGTTCAAACTACTCAATATCACTTGATTCAGATTTTCTTTGTGAACTAAAAATACATTTTACAAAAACGACTCATTGAAAACAATGTTGTAGAACCAGTTCTTGTATTAGAAACTGAAACTGTCAATAAGATTAAAAAGTTGATTAAAGTACAGTAATTCGAAAAACAACAAAAAAACCCTAAATTATATATTGTCAAAAAGATGACAGCCCACAAATATGAAGATTGTCAGGCTAGATTCAATCTAAATTTAATTCTCATCCTGTTAAAAAAGCATAAATTTATTCTTAGGTATTATACACACACAAAATAAAATCCCAAAGTTTCATCAGTTATTTCTCCTTCTTCATATCATACAAAGCAGGAGTTAAAAATAATCATGGATTTATAGCAGCCAGACTGGAGTCCAGTATTTATGTGTCAAAGCTAGTTCTTACTCAAAGATCTGGCTGCTGATAGGAAAATCAAGGTCACTAAATTTGCATCCAATGAATATCAATTGTTGTTACTCATTAGAAAGAAGGGGATGTGATTTAAAAAAATGCTTACTCAACAAATTTTTAGTATGAAGAACAGTGTGCCACTGTTACGTTTTTGCTATTTTTGTATATAAGCCCTACAGAAGAACTTAGTTTTTTCCAAAGGCTATTTTAAAATGCTCTGTTTAAGCCTAGCGAGGTCTATCTTAACAATCTTTTTCAGCACCACTCAACACACCAGAAGACTGTTTCAGAATCCATACGTTCCTTTGGTTGTGACCCTTCTTTTGATTTGTAGACTAAAAGGCATTCGTGGACAAGTAGTAGAGATTTTTTTTTTTTATGAAACTGCTGCCTACTTAAGTATCTCTTCTCTGGTGTTTCTGCAAGCCACAGTCACTCTCCTTCCAATTCAAACGTTGCAAATTCAGACCTATTCTTAGGCCATACATCCATTAACTTAATAATGGGTTTCACTCCAATCCAAGCATTATAGCTCTTTCATGTTGTCTCTTACATTCTACTTAATGTTTCAAATGGGAGTTAAATTTTAATAAATTATGGTCAAGTTAGGACTTAGATTCAACTGCCAAATTTTCTACCTACCATACTTTATATTTGACTGAACAAAGTTAAAGCCAAAGTTGCAATCTAGAAATATTTGTACCAGTAACTTAAAGAAACTAATCTCTCAAAGGTATCAGTGCAATACTTTGATATCAACAATGCATCATACCCTTCTAGCATGCTTTGAAGGACTGACATCAAATACACTAAGATTATGAAAATGAAAATATTTGGTTTTTCCATTTCTGCATGCACAAAAGCACTTGCTCTTTTCCCTGTACTCATACCTACAGATTTCTAATCCTTTCCTTACTTGAAGTGAAACACTTGGGGAAAATCTACTTAGTCCAAAATTTCATTGTATGTAGTTGCTGTAAATCTTCTAAGTTTCTGTACTTTGTTCTTCCAGATAATATTGATCACCAGACTTCTGGTATTGATCAGACACTCTATTGCAACACCATAGTCCAATTCAATTTGCATTCTCTATCAAATGTCTCAAGTATAGACCAATGCCGCTGTCTCATAGCTGGCCTCCACATTCCTTATTCTGATACTATTTCTCCATCTTCTTCACCCCTTCATGTCCTATCACATTGCACTGTGCTGCCAGGCAGAACTAGCACCTCACCAAGACCATGGGTTTTGGTTTGTTTTGGTTTTTGGGGGAGGGGGATTAACTTCTCTCTTGGTGTGGGAAAGGGGCAGCAAAGGGTATCACATACAAAAAGACAAAACTATGCAGTCCTATCAAGAACAAAGAGGAGATACTGCTCTAAACTTAAATTGTCACACATTTTATACATTTTGTGTTTCTATTCTCAGACACATACTAACAAGCAAAGCTTTCTTTATTATCTCAACATACGTGTAAATAAAATATCTCTGGGGTTGTGGGTTGTTGGGGGTTGTTTTTTTTAAATAAAGGAGGCGAAGCAATACTATATCAAAAAGTAGCTTCACTTTCATGGAGGAAGTAGATCTTCTGTAAAACCCTCTGTCAGAAGAACTCAGGTTAATGTAAAGCATGTTTCATGTTTCTTCCCATGTAAACCATTATATGTTCTAAATAAGACAATCCAATTCAAAAACAAATTAATAGCAGGAAAGAAGCAAACACCCATAGAGAAGACCCACATCAACAACTCTGCCAAGCCAGATGAAGAAAGAAGAAAGGTGTCTAATCCTTTTTAATCACATCCCATCATAAGCATCCCCAACATTTCACTTACATTATTTTGAACTAAGCCCTAAACAGTTTCCCAAAACCATGTGTTCAACCATTGGCTTAAATAGGTACTCTAAAACAAAAGGTTGTAGAGTAGAACATTAAAAAAAAATTAATAAAGCCAGCATACACAAATCAAGCTGCATGGATAAAATCAAAATTAAATGTAAAGACTGATATCAGTGTTAGAGTTAGGATTACTGAAGAGTTAGCCTTTTTAAAAAAAAACAAACCACAGTTAAACTAATGTTGTGGTCTTTTCTGTATAGATAAACCCCACAGATACAGAAAAAAATACTAGAAGGCAGCAAGGAAGAAAGCCTAAAGCACACTGGACAGAAGAAGGAACACACAATTAAAAATATATAGGTTTTCTGGCTAACAAACTTACACCAAGGTGTGTATCTCCCATTATTGATCACCCTGACAAAGTAAGTTAAAAGATTAAAGTGTTAAGAGAATACTTCAAAAGTAAAAGTGGGAAAAAAAACCCAACTTTTGACTATTTAGCACTAGAAAATGAAGCAAACTGCTCTGCACTACGTTTGGTTTACATTCTCTTAGCATTACCTTGTACAGATCATTGAAATCTACTGAAAAATAGATCTACAGAAGATACGTAATCAATGAAAAAAATAAGAAAAAAGGTACAATCATTCACTAATGCATACACATTCATTAACTGGAAAACCTTGAAACATGCACATCTACAGATCCATTAATTTTAATCCATTAAGAAATAAAAATATGATTAATCTTTGCAATATGTGTTAATGATGTTACCTGACAGGATTACTAGTCAAGGACACACGGAGAGATTCTAAGCAAGTGACTAGTCGTTCATCTGTTGACCCAGATTTTAATTCCTGTATAAACTCTTGGGGTGAAATCTTCCTCCTGTTCTTGAGACTTCCCTGAAATACAAAAAATACATTTGTTTTTTTATTTGGCACATACAGAAATCAAATCGATTATTAATGGCTAACCTTCATTTCTGTTCCTTGAAAAAACATGGGGAGGAAAAAAAGATATAATTTAGTCCTAAACCTGTAACTGTTTGTTGTCCATCTACTATATATGCTAAATGCTGTCTAAATTTTTGTCAATTTGTGAGCAAATTTATAATCAATAGTCAAAAGCAACATGCATCAAATGTAGAAATGTATCATGCACATGCAGTGAAATACGATTTTTGTAATGAATGGATTCTGTTGCAACATCGTAATTTTCAATACTCAATAGAAGAAGAAGAAAAGAAAAAAAAAACAAACCAAAAAAACCCCACAATTCTGAGGTGCTCTGAAGAGATCGCAGAGCATGTGTCCAGAAGGGTGATTGCTGTCATACAAGAATACAGAGGAAAGAACCAGTGTACTAGATGAGTACTCAGGATGTTACTGCAGTAACTTGAGTTCTTGCAGATAATGCTGTAAAACACTTTTCCCTCAAAGATCCTTCAGATGAGGAGTATATGAGACTGGGATTATAAAAACAGACTAGCTTTGGGTCTAAAGGCTAAAGTAAAAAAACTTTAAAAATTAAAAAAAAAAAATTAAAAAGAAGAGAAATAGACTTCTTTAGAACCACTGAAGTTCTAAAGATAAATTCCAGCTCCTCATTTGTTGTATTTGCCATCTGTAAGAATGCAGTGCAACGCAAATACAACTATTGATGCAATAACATCAGGACACTTACTCAAACTTCAGGTTTGTATTTTTTCTTGCTTTTTGGGTTTTGCTCTTTCTGGCAGGTGGGGAGGCAAATGGGGCCATGGAGAACAGGGAGACAGAAAGGCAAATGCAATGGCAAGTTAATGCAGCACTGCAAAAGTAGTTTTGTGCAAACAGAGTATTTTGTGTTCCAAGCAACACTGGTTGAAAGACACTCTTCTGAAGGATATATAGTATCCATTGTTTTAAACAAAGCAATAGTTATGCTGAACTAATGAAGCTCTACAATTTGCAATTAAAATGGCAAATCTAAGAGGCATTGAGCCTGTTCTTTAAAAAGTATCCTCCTCCCCTTTTTTTTTAAGTAGCAGCAAAGACAAAATTTGTAGACAGTGGAAAGTAATGTCTACTCCACCTAACATCCACTTACGACATGAAGAAGGATAGATATATTTTCTACAGAACATATCTAAATTCCAAAAAAAGAGGCATACAATGGGATATACAACCTATATTTGACTTAATCCATTGGAGGACTCCTTTTTTTGAGAGCAGAAGCACAAATATTCTGTCATGTAGCACTAAAGTGAGTTACTAACTAATACTGAATTATCTAGTGGCTTGCAGTGCAATAATAACTGGACATTATCCACTGTAAATGGTGAGGCAGTCTCATTATGTTATTACACAGGCTTCACACAGAAGATGTTTTTGTACTTGGGTAGATCTTCAAGAAGTGTTGAAAAATATACTTTTCTCCTCCTGAAGAAGATGATGATGAAATAGGTTCTAGCAGAGAAGTGAAGGTAAAAACTGCAAAAAGTGGTTGGCAGACCAGACTGCTGTGCTGCCATTCAGAGGGACCTCAACAGACAGAAGAAATGGGCAGAGGAATTTCAGGGAGTTCCACAACAGGAAATACTAAATCTGAACCCGGGGAGGAACAATCCCATTCACCAACACGTATTGGGGCCAACCAGCTGCAAAGTAGGTTTGTAGGAAAAAAATGGGGGTCCTGGTGGATGACAAGTTGACCATAGGGAAGTGCATCACCAGCTGGCCAAGGGAAGTGATCCTTCCCTCAGCTCAGCAGTGCTGAGACACATCTGGAGTAGATGAGATGGCCAGGAAGGGATGAGGGTTGAGGGGGAACCTTAGAACTAGAGATCTCGGAAACCCAGAGAAAAAACAAAAGTCCATAACAATAAATGTTCCCATAGACAAAAAAAAAACCCTCAATGTTTTCAGTTTTCTTTCATGTTCTGTGTTTAGCTCATAGCCACATAACACTCAAGTCAGAAAGGCCCTACAGCAAGGGAACTTACTTTAATCTCTTCAGATACTATCTGGGTCCAAGAGTTAACAGTATGCATGGGTAATGCTAGGAACAGAACATCACCACCTCAAAAAACAAATTTATGCTCCTCACCAAGTTGGTACAATTGCTTGCACTTCCATAAGGCAAGAAAACTCAGCTTCCCTACAGCTTTGATACAGCTATATCTAAAAAGGAATGAAAAAACAACTGGAAAGAATCTCCAAATGTAGAAGATCCAAAACAAAACAAAAAAGCATTCATAATATTAAGAACTAAATATCAGACTTGATAAAACATGAAAGATAAAAGCTACTACACCATGAGTTGCCCAAAGCACTAAAAATTCACTGGCTAAGGGGAATTGGTGACAAGGGTTCCTGTCTGGTTATTTAAGAGCTTATATACTGAGAACAACCATCCTGTTACAATAATCCCCAAACATTTTAAGACTAGACAATATATACCCCTGAGGCACAATCAGGGGAATTTGAGTTACGGCTGTGATGTAAGGAGAAAATTGTGACAACTGCGGTGTAACAGGGGATCAGGGCTGTGCCTGTATGCATATGCAGCATACACAGTTCCCTGTGTGATCCTGGATCTTCCCAGCTGGTCTCTGCATACATGAGATAATGGACTGACCACAGACAAGATGACCAAACTCTTAGCAGCCTTCATGACAAAGTATTTAACAAAATGTTACAGAAGCTCTCCAGTTGGAAATTTCAAAAAGTCCCAGAAATTCTACTGGCAGCTCCTGCTGTGCATAGACTAGTTGATAAGCATTACTTGTATGCCTAAACATATAGATTAATATCCTGGGTGGAGAATCTGTCATTTCCAGTGACCTCCCCCAGCAGTTCCTACTGTAAAATTGACCAAGCTGGATATAACTAAGATACTTACAAATAGTCAGTAAAATTGCTTTCTTATGATGCAGAAACAGTCATATAGGACAGTCATATGGACAGGACATATAGATAAGATGTTTAGAAGATATTTTGGAAGAAGTAATTTAATTTAATCAATAGCAATGTGTGTAGTGGAAAGGTCACATGGGACAGGAGCCCAGCCAGACTATAAGAATTCACTGAAATGACATTTCAGAGAGTCTCATCTGACCCATCTGAAGACAGTGTCACAAGCAATGGAGACTCACATCAATATCCAGACAGTAACCAGCCATCCTGTTTCAGATTCAGTTCCCCATCTGAACATTTCCCTATGCAAAAGATGCCAATAAACTGTGAATGTCTGTACAGCATACCCACAGTACCAAGTACCACTTATTCATAGTTACACCAAGGTTCTGCAACATAATAAGAATATGATACATCTGCCAGTGCTTAAATAAAATGAGAGCTGCATTTGGTACCAATTGTGAAACTGATTATATTAGCTATATTTCTGCATGGGAAAAGCTGCTTAAGTTCAAAATGCTTGAGTTAACTGAGAAACAGGAAATATCTTGAGGCATCAGTGCCTCTAGAAATTTAATTGCTCAACTGAAGAACAACTGGTCTGTGAGCAGATGCAGTATGAAGTCAGCATTAATTCATTCAGTTAAAACATTACAAGGGAGTAAGCTGCACAACAAAAACAAAATATTGTGAAGAAAACTCACTTTAAAACCCCAGTTTGTGTGTGTTCAACATACAGAACAGCAAAACTTATGGTAGAGTAACTTCACAGCAATGCTGCTTTTATTTCCAGTTGAGTATTAACTCTATAACATGGAAATGGATTTTTAAAACTTTTCTGGGCTGGAACATCTTTGTATGTGTTTATATAGCACTTAAAAAATGTGATGCTGTTTCTAACATCAAATAATCATAATACATACGAACAGCTACAAAACCACAGAAAATACATTGGACATAACAAACTCTAACAACAAACAGAACCACACTGCTTTTGGTAGATGAGAATTCACACTCACATAATAGCCTTCAAACACAACTGTTGTTCCCTTCTCCAACTGTTTCCCGATAACTGAGACACGACACCACAGCAGGCAGAAGTTCCATTCAGGATTTCCAAGCCATGATGGTTTAAACAAAATAGAGATATACATCTCTAAGGTAATGTTTTTAAGGGAAGAAATAAGGCTTCATCTAAACACTACACATTACAACAAAACAAGAAAGTACGAGCAGAATACTGAAGTACTTGAGCAGAATTCTTCCAAGCATACAATTTTTGCTATCATTCAAATTTTCAGTAAGTACTACTAGTATCCCAAACCCCAAGACTGTTTGTTCTTAGCCATTCTTCTACAGGGAGCCCCTGAACACATCATAAAGAGTGATGGTAACAGCATACTTACAGACACACACATACAGACATACATACAGAAGTACCCTTTCAGCCAACTGTTTAAGAAGTCTCTAAGCAAAGTGGAGTGACATGAATGAGTACTGGATGATGCAAGTCAGTAGAACTCTGGTTACTTTTAAGTAACTGAGTCCTGAAGGATAGATTAATTCTAAACATCTCATGCGTACACAGAGGTAGGCCACAATATTCTGTACATAAATAAGCTCCTGAGCATAGCCCCACCAAACCCAGCATCATTTCTAGATGCATCAGTAAAAGAGATGTGCTTTGTGAATATTGGAAAGGAGTTCTGCATTTCTAAGAAACAGAAACCCTGATACTGAGGTCAATGATGAAGCTTTGACTATAGTGGAGTGCACTTTGATCACCAGAGGCTGCTTCATTTTCAGTGATTCATTAGAGACGCAGCCTCTGCTCTTCATTGTAATAGTTTTTGTAATAATAACTGTTTAAAATGATACCTGCTGAGTATTCTGCATAGCAGTTGCAAATGATCATATTTATCTCAGGACAATATAGCTTAGTACCTGTCTCCTTAAAGTTTGAGAAGTATGAACTATCAAGAGATGTTACTGCAGTATCACTCACAGAAATAGACACCTGAGATGGGGTTAGTTGTATGTAATATTCAGGAGCTACATGGCACTTCAGCTCTTCTGACAAAGTATAACACTCATCAAGCCAAGGTACACCAACATTTAGCCAAGTACCCTGGGCATGCAGTGCACTATTCTCTCTAGACTGAGAAGGCACCCAAGTCCAATGCACTTGAGGCGTGAAACAGCACGACAGGAACAAAGTTTGCAAGGGCAAGGGAAGGAGTTTCCCATCCCAGTAGCTCCAGCACTAAGCTGAATTCATCTGCAGCACTAGTGTATCAAACAGCTGAATCTATTCATCTCAGAAACAGCTCCTCCCAGTTATACAAGTGAATGCCATTTCTAGTATGGACACAACAGCAGGAACAGAGTTCAGTAAAAACAAGAGTTTCCCTGCATGAATTAGTCTTCAGTGATCTCCCACAGCAGAAAGGGGAAGCTGGTGGGCTGGCAGGAAAAAATGTTGTTGGGGGCTTTATGAAAACATGCAAGACAACAGTATATGGGAACAAATCACTACCCTGGGGGAAGAAACAGACCTGTCCTCTTCAACACAGTGCCTTGTATGGCTGCTTTCGGCACAGTGCAAGAAGCTCCATTGCCAAAAAAACAAGTGTGATGACAACCAAAGACAAAAAAAAAGTATTTATGGCAAATGGCATTCAGAAAGAAAGATGGATGAAACCTACTCTGCTATAGGCTTCAGATCCTTGCAAGTATTAAGTGCCAGGAAGTAAAGAGCTAACATGCAAATCTCTCTCTTGAGAAAGAGTCTTAACATCACCATCATCATGATGCTAACATTCCAGCAATAGATGCGATTGCAGCAACTCTGAACAGCCAGCCGCATCCTATTATCACATGACTTTTTAGATCAAACAACTGAGATCTTAGAATGGTCCTAGAACCCTAGGAGGCTAGGAGTGTCAGCATCATATAAAACTTGACATGTTGTTTTAGGCTGAGAAACTTCAAGAATGTTGTGAGATGTGCGAGCCTGAAGTTTCCTGATTTCCCATGAAATATGTCTAAAAAAGAAAAACAGACCAGACCTCCTAATCTTCCAGTACTAAGGAACTTTTATGCTATAGAAGGACTAGTAGCTTTGATAAACTTATCTTAAATCAAACAACCTCCAGACAGTTTCGTCCTGCACTGGACATCTACCTTCCTAAAAGTGCTAGAGCATTACACTAATAAGGTATGTAATTTACAGTAGACAATAAGATAAATACCCCATTTAAATTACTGTATTTAATACCTTCCTTTCTCAGTATTTAGTTATAATTACATATGGGCAATTTTACTGATATCTTTACATGCATGGAGCAGTGAGAGTCAAATAATCAAATATATGAATTCTAAAACAATCAAAAGGTCTGAGGACAATATTACCACTGCAGCATTTAGCACTGGAGCCAGTCCCCACTATGCAAAAATTACAGTAGCTTTTCTTATGCCAACTTAATCCTTACACTGCCCAGTACACAACTCCTTGCACTTCTCTAAAACAACAAGTAATTATCACAATAAGTAAAAAATTAACATTAACTTCCATTATCAAGTATTATATAGCATCAAAACATGAATTCTATGCTCAAGCCAAGTATGAAAATGCTAATCAGTTAAGGAATTCTTTTTAGACAGTGCTAGAAAAGGAAAAAGGTTCACATCAAACTTTTCCAAGACATTTTCTGCAGAATCTTTCCATCTCCACTAATAGCCATACTTTTATCAAAAAGAAATGCTGTTCTGTGTACAGAAGACACACCTCAAGTACAAGTGAATAACTTTCATTGCAGCTTATAAAATAATGAGACAGTGCCCTTTAAAAATGTTTGTGTCTATGAGAAAGAAAAATTAGTCAAAAGAATGTAAAATGCTTGCATCACTTTTTCTCTCCAGTAGGAAATAATGTAAATACTAAGTGTTTGGTGTACTTCAGAGAAATTTACTTACAGACTTTGAAGCAGTGCTAATATATTGCATCACCATTTCTTTTTTGGTATTAAAATCCTTTTCTCTCAATGGCATCTTCTTGTCTTCATTTAAATTCATATCTTCCTAGAATGGGAGGGGGGGAAAAAAAAGAAGTTTTAAATGTCATCCAGCAACACAGTTGTTTAACTATAAGAGACTAATTTAAAAAACTTAAGACACAAAAATATGAACTTGAGCACCTGAAAGCTGTTATACAAGCAACTTTTCATAAGTTAGATATTACTTAAAAGCATAAAAATCTTTATCTATCTTTTCTAGCAACTCAGACTAAAAAAAACAGTCAGCTATGCCAGGATAAACAAGTGCATCACAGCCAATACTAGCATAATCTCTTCTTAGAAATCACTTACAGTTTCACACACATACATGCACTAAACTACAGAAAAGCGTTATTTAACACTCCTAAAACATTTATAAGTGTACTCAAAATGGTCTCTTAGAAAGATCTTTTTAATTACATACACATGTGTTCTATAATTCTGTTCCTCAGTTCAGAAATACCTAAACCTGGGCAGTGGAATCTGTTTTGCCCTGAGAGTAGTTCACAAAATAATATTCACCTTCACAGTAGGTAAGGCCCAAATTCTTGACCATTTGACCATTAAACCAACACCTCCAACTGTTATCAAAACCCCATCACAATTAATTCATTCCAACATAAACCAGAGATCAAAAAGAGCAGAGGTAGAACCACATTCAAAGCCACAAAGCAGCTATTCATTGACATCACAGAAACATGGTGGGATGACTCTCATGACTGGAGTGCTGCACTGGATGGCTATAAGCTCTTCAGAAGGGATAGGCAGGGAAGGAGAGGTGGTGGGGTGACTCTGTATGTTAGGGAGTGTTTTGACTATATAGAGCTTGACAGTGGTGATGACAAGGTCAAGTGCTTATGGGTAAGGATGAGGGGGAAGGCCAACAAGGCAGACGTCCTGTTGGGAGTCTGCTATAGACCACCCAACCCGGATCTAGAGACAGATGAAGCATTCTACAAGCGGCTGGCAGAAGTCTCGCCATCACCAGCCCTTGTTCTTGTGGGGGACTTCAACTTGCCAGACATCTGCTGGAAATACAACACAGCAGAGAGGCAACAATCTCAGAAGTTACTAGAGTGTGGGCAGGATAACTTCCTGATGCAGCTGGTAAGTGAGCCTACCAGAGGAGGTGCCTCACTTGACCTGCTCTTTACAAACAGAGAAGGGCTTGTGGGAGATGCCATGGTTGGTGGCTGTCTTGGGCTTAGCGACCATGATATGATAGAGTTCTTGGTGACGTAAGGAGGAGGGGCAGCAAAACTGTTACCATGGACTTCTGGAGGGAAGACTTTTGGCCTGTTCAGGACACTGGTTGGGAAAGTCCATTGGGAGGCAGTCCTGAAAGGCAAAGGGGTCCAGGAAGGCTGGGCCTTCTTCAAGAAGGAAGTCTTAAGGGTACAGCAGCGGGCTGTCCCCGTGTGCTGTAAGACCAACCGGTGGGGAAGACCACTGGCCTGGATGAACAGGGAGTTTTTGCTGGGACTCAGGGACAAAAAGAGAGTCTACCACTCCTGGAAGAAGGGGTGGGCAACTCAGGAAGAGTACAGGGATCTTGTTACGACATGCAGGGAGAAAATTAGAAAGGCAAAAGCCCAGCTAGAACTCAATCTGACCACTGTTGTAAGAGAAAATAAAAAATGTTTTTACAAGTACATTAACAACAAAAGGAGAGCCAAGGGGAATCTCCGTCCTTTGCTGGATGGAGGGGGGGGGACATTTTCACCAAGAATGAGGAAAAGGCTGAGGTATTTAACGCCTTCTTTGCCTCTGTG